GAGCGGGAGGCCTGATACGGTTGTGAGGTTAAGCAGGCATGTGCAGGACGTGACGATTCCTTGGGTGAGCCCAGAACCAGAGCGCCATGTGCCGGCTCTGCAGGCATGGAAGCCTCCTTGGATGGCGGGGAATGCCCATGATCTGCCCCTGCCTTCCCTTGAGGGCTAACTGTTCCACAGGGGGCTGCCCCAAAGGGGTACTCTGAGGGCAATACCTGCGGCGAAGGAGACCACACAAATCAGGCAACGTCTCGACCCACACAAAACAATGGCCACAGTCACCCTAGTATTAGGCCTGACGTCTTCCTTCGAAGTCGGAGTACAGCTGCCCATGAGGCAGGGAAATGAAAAACGGTTGTACACGCAAAAATCAGGTCCAGGTGAAAGCCAAAAGTCCAAGCGGACGATTAACCGGGACCTTCCACTGGAATTCACAGCCGGTGATCGATTAAAAAAAAAAAAAAAGTTATTACAGTCAACAATTATTAAAGTACTTTGCAACCCTCTGGTTGGGTTTTGCAGAAGAGCAGATCATGGATTCTGTATTATTTACTACACATGATGATGATGAAATGGTACAAACAGTTCTGTCAGGTGAGACACCACTTGTCACCATAAGGACTGGTTTCAGACAATCTTCAGTACTGCTGTACTGTCTCAAGGTAGGTGTTGGGTACTGACATAAGATACAGTTGCAAGACATTGGTACACTAATGCGTGTGTATGCTTGGATTTGCCGAGATATCACTCTGTGTCAATATTTCCACAACAGTCAAAGGTGAACCTTTTGTGTTTTCGTTGGTACACGAGCGCAGCAACTATGGGGCTAACTCGTTTGCTGTAAAGCTGACACTAAGAATACCAGATATGAAATAATCAGATATGTGGGTTGATTTGTTTCTTTGCTGGCAAAGATAAAAAAAAATATTGCCCTGTGCAGCTGGTAGTGACTACATCTCTTCATGTTGGTGTTGACACAAATGCATTCACAAATCATTTCCGTTTATCCATGATATACCATGCCAGCTTACATTCCATGCCCACTGTCTTCCTTCAGTGTTTAACGTCTCCTTTTTTCATCTGCCGTCCAGTGAGAGCTTTCCTTGTCAGTTTGGTAAATAATTCTGCAAACCACTGTTTAATTTTTAATAAATCTTTTGCATTCTTATTCCCAATGGAGCATAGGAGCTCAGCCAGCTCATGCCAAGTCCTTCGCTATTACATGCAGCTCACCCCCTCTTTCAAATTTCTCTCTCTAGCTCCAGTCTTCATTTCCCTTGTGTCATATCTAATGCCAACGTCTTTTCTTCACCTCGCGGTCCACTGGAACTTGTTTGGCTCTCTCCCAAAGCTAAACATTAGTGATTCTATCCTACATTTAATTCCCTTTATTCCTCGCAGACACCAGTTAATGAATGTTCGTAGTTTATTAGTAATTTTTAAAAATTGTTCTCGGTGTTTCAGCACTATACATCTTAGTACTGATTAAACATTAGAATTAAAGATGCCTAGTCGATTAAAAAAGTGCATACCTGGAGTAGGAGCCTGTCCTACCACCAGGCGGCGGATGGTGGAAAGGCCTCTAGATATAGAGGTTAGCCACGAATATATTGAATAAGTGGCCGTGGACCAAAACAGGTGATGGTCATTGAGGGGAGGCGAGTTAGTTAGTGGGACAGCTAACTATAAAATACCTCAAAACTCTACGACATGGCCACAAACCATATACAAACCGGTGGAAGGTAAGGGGAAACCACCGCTGTACTATCCCAAGAAAATCATGCCTCAAAATAATACATATTCAGATAACGACGTGAATGGGGATTCCGGTGGAATCACCTCGTCCGGTAGGGAGCATCATGTTCTACGGGTGATACCCGACCGTCATCCAGCTACTGTAGAGAGAAGAGGGAAAATAGAACATGTTGTAACCACTAGAAAGATCTGTGGAAGGAGAGATAGAGGAAGACAACGAGAGAAGATGCTCGACAGTCTTGTTGCATGGCATGGAGGTGCGTCGGCACACGAACTGATACATGCTGCAGGAGATCGCAGATTATGGAGAGGCATGATCGCCCACGCCAGTCGGCAAGGCACCTGATGATAAAGACTGGCCTTGTGGGTTCTGGAGCCTCATTGTGGGGAAAATAAGAATAGATCCACAGCCTTCCCAACAAGCATGTCGTAAGAGTCGACTAACTGGGAGCTTCCTTCAAAGTCAGAGTGCATCTGCCTGAGATAAGGAACCAACAATCTGCATTCAGTTAACTCAGATCTGTTAAATGTATGCGCAAGCAACACTCGGGTTCTGGAAGAAAACTCCCAGAGGTGGACAAGACAAACAACCATAACTTTCCACATGAGTTGACAGCCGGTGATCGCGAAAAAAAGGGGGAGAAATGGATTTCCGTTGACCTGGTTTGCTTATAGAACGCTATAGAAGGCTGTGCTGCAAACATGGCCAAGCCATCGGCAATTTCCTCCCTTTGCTACAAATCGTCAGAGTTAAAATATAACACCTCTTTCTCCCCAGTCCCTGTCGTTGGCTGCGATGTTTATCCACAACCTTCTGTCTCTTGCACTTTTTATCAATTCTGACACATGATCTTTCCTGTGTGAAACATCTCTTTCGGTCTCTCTATACCCGTCTACTCTTGCAAATTGCTACAGACCCCCCACCCTTTTCTGATGAGACCAAAGAATATAGGTTGTCCACTGCTGATACGGACAACAAATTCTCTTCGCTAGTGCGCTTTCTTTCAAGGCATCATTATTCTCTCTGAGCCCCGGAGGTCACAGTAGCGTCGCTCTACAGCAGCCTCAGTGTGATGAACATCAACTGTTTTATGCAGCAGACAATGCCACTCCCGCATTCGACTTCACATCCATAGCAGACGTTGCTTGCAGAATCAACGACAGTGGTGCTTATTTAATATTCACGTACATCTTGAGACTATAAATAGTCCATACAGCTAATCACGTGCCAGTATGTCCGGGAGTCCATCGAAAAGTGGTAAGTGAAAGCTGTTTCCATGTGTTGTATTGTGTGTCATTTTAATGTGCTTACAAAGTTGTGTTCTGAATGTATTCGTATTACAAATCGACAAGCCGATATTGTGAAGTGGATGTACAAGATTTGAACTTTGCTGTTAGATTACAGCAATTTGAATTGAATTTCACGGGAGACAGTCGTGTTGTGTGTGTGTCACTGTCTAGTCAGTAGCTTAGATTTTTTTTTTTTTTTTTACCTTGAATGTAGAAATCTTACTTTTGGGGAAAATATAAACAGGTAATTTAGAAGCCAGATCTGGAGAATATCCACACTTGTCAGCCTTCAAATGGACATTAGATAAAATATGTTGCAAATTAATGAAACAAGTTTCATTATTTTTCGAGGCGGACTCCTGTGGATTTCCCATGTTTGGGTAAGGTTTTAATAAAGCGCCGGACGGTTACCTACAAATTTACTAATCCACACATGCCAACCTATCTCAGACATACTGCAACTAAAGTGGTTAACTTTCTGTGCTGGATTTTGCAACTAGGCTGCAAAATCCATGCTTTTCGGCACTTCGGATTTAGTTATATTATAGCAATTCATAATTACTGGCTTTTAACTACTTGTCTTTGAGGGGCGAGACGGGCTGTTCCACAACAGTGCACTGGAACCCGAAGAAAACAAAAACCACTCCAGATTTTTCCCTGTGCAAGTCTTGGCACGGCTCATTCCATTTCTGCTTTTAAGACAACAACCAACAAAACAGCATTTCTATTACAAAATGTGCTTTAATAGTTTCCCTTGTTCTGACAAAAGTGTAATTAAGTCAAATCAACTAAAACGAGAAATGCAAGTTAATTCTGACCGCTAATAACTTCACTGAGCCAACTTTTCTTTATTACAATAAGAGGAAAATGTTTGTGTTAATAATTCAACCTCCACTGAAGATATATTTCAAACACTGAACACTTGATTTCTCCATTAGTCACGGATTATTGTGGTTTAGTAAGCGTTAATATGACACACAGAACATTATCTTAGATTTGGAAGCCTCTTACTTTCTACTTTATTTTATGTCTGACCCAGGTACATTTAAAAAAAAAACTTGCTCAAGACTGTGGATTCGAACAGACTACCAGACGAGCATGATAGCTCCTGCACCCTCAACTGTGACGGAAATATACAAAATTTAAATTGCACAAATTACAAACAATGACAATACTCACTGTTGAATTTGTGTAAAGACTGCAAATGGCCCCACTTTTCCCATCCAAATAATGGATGACAATACACAGATGGTAAAACACTGTCACCAGAATATACATTCATTCTCTGGTGTCGCATACAACAGAACACATTAACACACATATACTGCTTACTTCATGTGCACATAATTTAAGAACTGAATGAAGTGGCGACACCCAAGGTCTGAATTAAATGAAGTGGGGTACACGTGGGTATGTTGAACAACGCCAGGACGGCACGAGTGCCCAACACCTACTGACACAAAAGTGCTACCATTCTAATGAGGATCCCCAGGCGTGAATCCCTGTTCAACCATTATGATATAAAATAAAGTGTGCTCTAGCTTGGAATGAATGGTTGGTTTAATAAGGGTTACACAACATTTAACATCTGAAATAATTAGATAGTTTGTGTGTGTGAGGGAAAACATTTATATAATTTTGCAAATTAAATGCAGAGGGGGGAACATTTGTTGCCAGTGTTCCCTGACTTAGCTCAAGTTTGTTCCACTGTGCTTAAATATGTCTTTAAACAATGAATATCTCAGACAAATTTCATTCAGTAGAAAAATTCACTAAGAAAGCATCCCAACTCAAGACTTCTTTCTGTGGTCACAAATGATCTACATACACAAAGACAGGACAAGAGACACAAATGGATGGCGTGATTGGTTAGTACATCAAGTGTTTTATGCAGGAGGGCAGACAGGAAACAGCAAAACTTGACCAACACAGCATCACGGGAACCAACAGGACACTCAAGCTCTCTTGATGTCCAACAGCTCCACCTCGAAGATTAACGTGGCATTGGGAGGGATAGTGGAACCAGTTAAGAAAAATACAAATCTGCTGTAGACAATCTAAACATGTTACTTCTGGTTTTGTCTGATGGCTGTAACAGAAACGCTGAGGAAAGAAAATAGTCACAGCACATGCAGTTACATAGTAAATATCTTATTTCTACAATCGCGGATGCAACCTGTTTCAAGCTTCTATCCATTCCCTCTTTCCCCCCCCCCCCCTTTCTGGACTTGTATCTAATTTAGACATTCCCAATCAACTTATTAGGCCCGTGTTATACAGTAATCTCCACTGAACTACAAGTTACATCACAACTGTTTCGTGGTGCCCCAATATACCTGCGCTATATGGCTGAAAGAGGGTTTCCAGGATTTGTACCTGTTGGATTCTCATCCATGAAATTTTATTCCTAAAGATTTCAATCCTGGAGGGGGAAAAACTAAAATATCTGTGTCTACATTTAGGCAGTGTCTAATTTCTCAAGCTTCATCAGGATTTTTACATTTTTTGGGGCTTTGTTTCCTTTCTCCCAACAGAGCATAGGCTTCCAACCAGCTCATCTCTAGCCCAGCCAGACTGGTTCACTGACCATGTTTTTGCACAGCTATATAAATGAGTTAGCCAATCTCATGCCGACTCTCCTCATCTGCGTCACATTTTAGACTAGTGTTACAATTTTCTGCTACCTTGAAGTGATAACACAACTTAAGTTTTTTTAAAAAATAATACCCAGAAACCATGAGTTGTTAAGTTAACTCTTTGGCTCGGTACTATCGCAACCTTTCGGCCTTGATTCCATGATAGATACCATAAATCTGGGAGAAATGTGGCTTTTCTGCCTACCCACGGGCGTAAACCCGGACCACAAGGAGTTTGTCACCCAGTCGCTGCGAAGTCAGGTTTAACTATCTACCCTAGCGAGCCAGGCACTTTATCAGTTAAGTATTATGATAGGAATTTTTATTTACCTGAGAAAGACAGATGTATGGTGTTCAGTTACACTGACGTGTATGTTCAGTTACACTGACGTGTATGTTCAGTTACACTGACGTGTATGTTCAGTTACACTGACGTGTATGTTCAGTTACACTGACGTGTATGTTCAGTTACACTGACGTGTATGTTCAGTTACACTGACGTGTATGTTCAGTTACACTGACAAGCTGTGTGCAGCAGCCTCTGAACCAACCAGCAACCTACTACAGATACCTGTTATCTGATTGAACATATTTATTTGTGTCTGGTCTGACTGTATTTATGTGGAGTTGCAGTAGTTTTGTGTCTGGTCTGACTGTATTTATGTGGAGTTGCAGTAGTTTTGTGTCTGGTCTGACAGTATTTATGTGGAGTTGCAGTAGTTTTGTGTCTGGTCTGACTGTATTTATGTGGAGTTGCAGTAGTTGTGTGTCTGGTCTGACAGTATTTATGTGGAGTTGCAGTAGTTTTGTGTCTGGTCTGACTGTATTTATGTGGAGTTGCAGTAGTTGTGTGTCTGGTCTGACAGTATTTATGTGGAGTTGCAGTGGTTGTGTGTCTGGTCTGACAGTATTTATGTGGAGTTGCAGTAGTTGTGTGTCTGGTCTGACATTATTTATGTGGAGTTGCAGTGGTTTTGTGTCTGGTCTGACTGTATTTATGTGGAGTTGCAGTGGTTTTGTGTGTGGTCTGACTGTATTTATGTGGAGTTGCAGTAGTTTTGTGTCTGGTCTGACAGTATTTATGTGGAGTTGCAGTGGTTTTGTGTCTGGTCTGACAGTATTTATGTGGAGTTGCAGTGGTTTTGTGTCTGGTCTGACTGTATTTATGTGGAGTTGCAGTAGTTTTGTGTCTGGTCTGACTGTATTTATGTGGAGTTGCAGTAGTTTTGTGTCTGGTCTGACTGTATTTATGTGGAGTTGCAGTAGTTTTGTGTCTGGTCTGACTGTATTTATGTGGAGTTGCAGTAGTTTTGTGTCTGGTCTGACTGTATTTATGTGGAGTTGCAGTAGTTTTGTGTCTGGTCTGACAGTATTTATGTGGAGTTGCAGTAGTTTTGTGTCTGGTCTGACTGTATTTATGTGGAGTTGCAGTAGTTTTGTGGCCGATGACTATGCAGAGTAACAGTGGTTCTCTGGCTGGTGTGCTCACTTATCAAGCCAGTGGTATTTGTTCAATCCTCCAGAAGTGTCAGGATTCTTGTGCAACAGAACAGCTGCATGGGCGACTCATGCTCACACAAAAGGTACCAGATATACTCCAGAACTTTCTAGGAAGAACCCAAGAGGAAAGGAACAAGTCACCCATAATATGCTTTTCCTCAGAATATATAAACTCCAATGACCATATCTGTCAAGGGATATGCATATACTGGAGCAACCTTGCATGAAAAATTATCATTATAATAAATATAATAGAACAACAACATGACACCCAGCTACATGATTGTCAAGGATATACTCCGCCAGCTCCTTCTTTTCCATAGCCGTAGTCAGGAGTGATGGTCAACTTGGCCTTCTCACCCTTGCACAGCTGCAAATGAATAACACTTTAATGAACCACACACACACAGAAAACACGCTGTCTTACTGAAGCAGCAGTGTCATCATTACACTATCCAGACCATGCTGCAGACTTAGCAATTCTGTAACCTGTCAGCAATCCCAAATTTGCTTCACAATTATGGCATTCTGATGTCAACACAGTGCCCGATTCAACCTGACATTGACAAAATGTGTTCTGCCTGTTTATTGCATCAATGAACTTCTTTCTGTACCTTCCAGCCAAAACATTCAACTTCATCAAGAACTTGTCTTCAGGGTCAGTCTTTTCAATCAGTTTTGTGGAACATTTCACATTTACATGGTGCTGTCTCTAGGGGACATCCACAGGGTAGTTAGGCGCAGAGTGGACAGCCCTCAAGGAAAGGTGGGGACAGAGTGGTCAGCCCTCAAGGAAAGGTGGGGACAGAGTGGTCAGCCTTCAAGGAAAAGTGGGGACAGAGTGGTCAGCTCTCAAGGAAAGGTGGGGACAGAGTGGTCAGCCCTCAAGGAAATGTGGGGAGAGTGGTCAGCCCTCAAGCAAAGGTGGGGACAGAGTATGGGCATGCCCAGCCATCTAAGAATCCTCAGATGCAGAAAAGATACATGAAGCTTTAGTACAGGGCTCACCCAAGGAATGGTCATGTCCTGCTTAACCTCAAATCTGTTAACTGAGCCCCTTACCCACCCCAGGCTGTACACAAAGTTTATAAAAAGCACTTATACTACCGAGTAGAAAACAACATCTTGACCATAAGAAAGATAATGCATACTACTAACTTGACAAAACAACTAGCAATCTTCAGACATAACAGGCTGGAAAGAGCACTTGTTAAAATAAGCTAAAGATAGCTTTACATTGTGAATTCTAGAGAAAGCAACTTCTAGTCTGTTCTTTTCTCAATAGGTGTCTTGGCCTGATCCATGTGATATTTCTTCTTTGTTCACCGCTGTAAGCTTCCGGTGGGAAGTCCTGGTTGCTCATTCATTTGGACTTTGGCTTATCTGCTGTAGCTGGTTGTTTCTTGCCACTCATGAAGATGCACTCTGATTCAGAAAGAAGCCCCCGATCAGTCTACTCTTATGACATGCTTCTAGAGAGACAGTGGGTTTATTCTTGTGTTCCCCCACTTTGGTGCCCTGTGATATTTAAACTGCTTTTATTTTCTTTTGTGCATTAACTGATCTTTACTTTCGACATTTTAAAAGCCAATCATGATAAGACAATTTCCCACTTAATGATGCTCTCACTCTTCTCAGGTCACTCACTGTGCTACCTAATCCTGTATCATACCACCATTATGTCCTGAGTGACCAGACTTAGTTGTTCATCATCCGTACACGTACAATTTAATTCTCATACTTTCACATGATTCAACTTTTATTGTAAAAGAAAATGCATTTGTTTATTTTGAAACCAGTGGACTCTAATTACTGTTTATAATTTGTGACACAAAAGAAGAAGTAGAAAACATCTGACATACAAATGTACATATAAAGGTATCAAATGTAAGCCTTAACAATGCCAACATAATGTTGCACTGTTTTATAGAGCTAAAATCTGTTGATATATTTACAAGAGGATGACAATCCACAGACATTTAAATATATTGCAAGCCTAATGAAAACACAATCAAAATAACAGTTGTAAAAAAAAAGATTTTTCTTACCTGAGTGAAGCCTTCATCCCAACCTGGTCATGGTAAACAGAGGCAAGAAACACATCAATACTGACATAAGAGTTGTTTATAAACAAGTAAGACATTTTAAGCAGTCAAGTTATCTTCTTCTTTGCATTCACCAGCTGAAAACTGCAGTGGCAAGTTCTAGTTGTTCATCCACATCTGGACTCTGAGTCTTGTTTCATAAGATGAATTCTGGGTGCACACATGTTTTACACATTGGGCTTATTCGTAAGCATACTGTTGGTACCTTATCTCTCAGGCAGACTGACTCTTAGAACATGTTTGACTTGGAAAATGATAGTGGGTCTATCTTGTTTGTCCCCCTACAGCGTGGCCCTGGAAGTCACACAGGAAAGTCAAGAATCAGCAATCAAGAGGACTGACTTCATTGCACTGGGTTTGATCAAACATGTTTTTTGCAGAACAGCTACCAAGAGTGTCATTAAGAGCATAAATTCTGTGGCTCAAATGAGAATCCCCACAGACAGTCTTTAGTTATATGTGACGATGACACACATAAACTGAATGACTGTAAAACTGTGATTAGCCACCTCTTGGAACATCACTAATAATAAAATCATCACTGGACTCGGCACTCTTACTGACAACTTACACTTAGTATTATCTTCGTTTCAAAACATTACTGTGCTAGTTTGTAGACACTGGCTAAACAGCTAATACAGTACATTTTAAAGCATTTAACATATGATGTACTTGCAGACACTGAACTGTTTAGACATCTTTTAACTTCACATTCCCATATATATATACCCCCATTTCACCCACTCCTTAATGTCTCATAACACCATTATCTTGTAAGACACAGGGTACAGCTGAACTGACAGGCTTGTAGATAGAAACTGAATTCTCAAAAGGGCTCCACAAGTCAAAACAGTTGGGAATCACTGCTCTAAAGAAACGTAAGTCTCACCTCAGCTACCTCAAGACAAGTTCTGGGTCTGATGTCTTCCTCACAAGTAATCATCCACCTTTAATCTCATTGTCAAATTTTTTCTGACTCCAATTTTTTTTTATTTCTTTTGCTATGTGGATTTCACAAACACCATATAATTGTCTCATTAAGTCATATACATGTTTATCACCCCCCCCCCCCCAACCGATCGACTGCAATTTAGTTCTTCCACTAAGAGTCATGTTATGCCTATGTACACATGTTGAGGAATGTGTAATTTATTAGTCAACTGATGTTCCTTATCCATCCTGCTGCTATTCCATACACCAATACAGATTTAATGTTCTTCAACATTCCAAGCCCTTGAGGTTCTCTGCTGCAGACATCACCTGCTTCCATTTATCTCAATGATTGGCCTTCTCTTTCCAGTCAGTTCATGACTTCAGACTTGACGTTAGGAATGAATATTTCAAGTGTTGTATGAGTTATTACATATTACCTAATGTTTTGACTGAATAGCACAGATTAGAACACAAAAATAAGATATGTCTCAAAATAATGAATCTTCTTTTCAGCGTTCACTGGTCGCAAGCAGCACATGGCTGTGTTTGTCCACTTCTAGACCTTAATTCAAGAACTTGCGTTTCACGTGCAAATTCGTTTTACGGACCTGGCTTTCTCATTAACAGACTTGTAGTCTTTATCTCTCAAGCAGTTGCAACCCGACTTCGAGGGAAAAATGCTAATTAGTCACCTTTGACTTTATGCTTTTCAGTCAGGGAGACAGTGAACCCCAAAACATGGGGACAAACAATGAACTACGTACACTGGGAGGAATCGGGACTACAGAACATCTGCAATATGCTAAACAGTCATATATATGTGATATTAAATGATCTCTAATGTCATTAAAAAAAAAAAAAAAAAAAAAAAAGAAATCTATACCTCTAATGACTTTACCAACGCCTATCTTTGTCTCGAAGGGCTTGCCTCGATCTTTTGAAGAGTCAAACTTCTTCCCATTCGTCAATGTACCTATGGAAACAAAAGTTCCATTATTACTTTTGTACCCATTATATTTCTATCAACCTCACTTCCGGCGGCCTAATTTGCGGTTTTCCGGCGACTACCACCACCGCCGAGAGTATCCCCCACGCTGCGTGGATTGGTGCTAAATTAGATTGCTGGGACTCACGAGCAGCAGCTTCCGCATCTCCTGCAGCTTTGCTCGTGAGTCCTAGCCATCTAGCCGGAAGTGCGCAATTGTTATGTGACTGAGGCCCTGTTTTTGGCCGCCATCTTTTGTGCCCGTTATTCGGAGGATAGCCAAGAATATTTCAGAATGTATTGGTACAGACAATTTCTTTCCAGAAATTATGATAAGGAAGAACTTGAACACGACAAGGACTTAGCCTTAGTCACCCTGCCTAATATGCTGTGACCTAGAATGCGTGCTGTGGGATCACCTTTATCTTATGTAGACATCATAATAAAAGAGCACAAGCTGGTATCATTTCTTCCTCCCCTTCTTCAGCCTTCCAGATTCACTGCTGCAGATATCTCCCACTCCCACTAACCTCTCTGACTGACCTTCACTTTCTAGTTGAAACTCTACAAGCTTCTTCTTCTTCGCGTTCACCAGCTGTACACTCTGGCGGAAAGTTCTGGTTGCTCGTCCATTACTGAACTGCAGTCCTGCTCCAGAAACTGAGTGTTGCGTGTGCATCAATTTTACAGATCTCATTCTCTTGAATACAGGCTGCTGGTTCCTTGCCTCTCCGGCAGATGCACTCCGACTTCAAAGGAAGCTCCCCAGTTAGTCGACTCTTACGACGTGCTTTTGGGGAGGCAGCAGGTCTATTATTGTTTTCCCCACAATGGGGCCCCGGAACCCACACGGGGGTCTCTACAAGCGTTTATATAGGTTAGCCTGTACATTATCTCCCCATTTTCCTCGTGGTCTGCTTCAGGGTCTACTCCCATTCAACTCTTGTGTCTATGCATATTTGGCATTCTCTCTATCTGCCCAAGCCACTGTAGTCTATTAGCCCTCATTGGGCCAGTAACTAGTGAAGACTTACAGAGACTGTAAATTTCATTGTTTTTCTGTCAGCAAATATTTATATTTTCAGAACTACTGATTCTGAACAGTAGTTCACTACTGCATGTTTAAAGAATATAGACAAATTTTAATACTGCAAAACACTAATTTTCTTCTTCTTTAGGTTCTCTGGCTGTAAACTCCAATAGGAAGTTCTGGTTGTTCGTCCAACTAAGTCTTGTTCCAGTACCTGAGTGCTGCACTCGTTTCACCAATTTGGCCAATCTGTATGCAGACTTTTGGTTACTTGTGTATCCCGACTTTAAAGGATTCCCCCCATTACTCTGAGGTAAAATGTGTGGCTTAATCAGTTAAGTTATTTTATTGCCTAAAACCAAACATTACTGCCTGTTCTACAAATCGACACAACAGACAATAACAGACAATTCATACATGTAATATCTTACCTGTGTAGTGAACAATAACTGTGTCACCTTTCTTTGGGTATGTCTTGCCTAAAATGTAAACAATTAAATTTGTAAAAAATAATACAATATAACATCTAAAGATGACAGAGTAAAATACAAATGATAACATAGACATAATGTAATGGTAAAACTAAGAAGTAAATTGGCTATCCTCAGAATAACAGTCCTAAATTATCGAGGTGGAAAATATACCCTAACAGGGTGTCAGTCACGTGTCAATTGTGTACTTCCATCGTCTTAAATTGCGCACTTCTGGTGACTTCCGCCACCACCAAGAGTATCTCCTTCGCCGCTCATGTGGGGTGGATTGGGGCTAAACTAGATGGCTGGGACTCACGGGCAGCAGCTACCGCATCTCCTGCAGCTTCCCTCATTTTTTTTGCTTGTGAGTCCTGGTCCTAGCCATCTAGTTTAGCCCCATCCATGCAGCGCGAGCGGTGTATGGGATACTCTCGGCAGTAGAGTGGTAGCCAGTAAATTTACTGAATGGCAATATACATCTGCCTTTGCAGCTAAGCTTGCTGGCTTCTGTCAGTCACCCCAGAAGTGCAGTTTGTTGGAAGTAGTCGGTTACACAAAGCTGGACATAATTACGCAAAATTATTGCTGCCCAAATACAAATCAGCTAAACGCCATCTTTTGATTTGAATACCTGAACACAACCACACAGTATTCAGTGCTGCACCAAGCAAATTCAGTAGGTCACCCACTAGGTGAGTCAGCAAAATTTAAGTTTCTATTTGAAGACCCATATTTTTGCTGCCGTTTCACCAAGCAAGATCATGATCATTAAAAACCTAATTTGCAAATCTGCTTCTCTTCTGATGGCAGCCTGTGACTCAGACTGTGAGTTTCATTAACTACACAAATGCTACTGTCACTACTGAGTATTTCACAGATAATTAAATTCTGCTAAGACATCTTTGACGGCCTGTTAAAATACGGATCCGGAATCCTTAAGAATGTTATAAACCGGCGACACATGGATGGGCATCGATGAATTAATTCAGCCGACATCGACATTGTGCTGGCTGCCCGAATAACAAGCATGGCCTGCATGGTGAACTGTGATCGCAATGTCAATGACAATTTCAAGTGTTGAAAGCTTAAAAACATTAAATTACAAGGCAATTTACACATTTAAAGAAAAAACAAACAAAAGACGTGATTTTACCATCGCCTGGGCTAAGAGATTCGACTTCAACTCCCATTGTGGCTGCAGAAAGCTTAGCTAAGCGTAAAAAATTGATCGGAGTACAACGGTCGGCGTCTTCAGGATCCCGCTGGGGCTAAATATAGATTCAGCAGACGCGAGCCATTTGCCAGGAGACAACGTTCGGGAAGGCTAAATATTGGGGGAAATCATTTCAATATTGATTCTTGTGTTCTTTATAAAGACATATAGTAATATTATTAATGATGATAATAATATTAATAATAATAACACAACTACTCTGTTTTTGAAGCAGCGACATATCTGCCAAAATCTATGTTATTATAAAGACTTCTGTCGTATATTAGCTGTTATTTGTGTAACGGCTGTGATCTCTGTTAAAATAATAATTAATAAATACCAGAGATCTGCAGAAATATAGAAATTCTGTGTTTGCGTTTTTATATATTCGCAGTTTCTTAATCTGTAAGAAGGCAGAATACAGCAAAATAAAAACTGTTTCCTTCAATTTCTTATACTTATAAAAATGCTGTCATTTGAATGCTCCTTAGTGCTTGTCGTAATTTTTTTTTTAAAACAAATATTCAGAAAGGTTATTGAAGAACTAAACGTTTCTAGATAGTTTAATTTTACAATCATTTGCTATAAATGAGATTTAAATAGTTATTTTACTTTTTTTTTTAAAATACCAAACTTGGTTTTAAAATTAAAACAAAAACTATCTGAGACCTACAATGAGACTGTATAGCCAAGCCACCCTGGCAGTCGTGGAGTAGCTGGGCTTGGATTAGTTTCAGTGTTGCCACTTTGGATCTTTTATATCCAAATTTAGATCTTTTTCATTGCATTTAGATACTGTTTTTTACGTTTAGATCGTAAATATTTTTCTAGATACATTTCATATGGAGTTAGATATTTTATAGATTTTTTTTTCTTTCATTGTCAATTTAATAATTACTGTGTAAAATATTTACTACAATATTTTTGTTTTGGTCTGGTACGTACATTGTGACAACTGCCATTACTTGAACTTTGAATTCTCACTGGGGTCAACGCACAAATATCTGGCAGCCCCGGTACTGATTAATAAAAACGCTCGTAAATCATGCTTTGTTTCAACCGTATCCTCACTGTGCTGACTTTGCTTTTCTTTTTCATGTGATTTAAAAAAATAATTGCTCACCTTCTTATGTGGCTTTCACTTTGAAAAAACCTTTCAACATGCCAAAAGTAAAGTATGAGCAAAAAATTTGGAAAGAGTGGTTGTATGATGACAAAATTAAAAACTAGGGATATGACCAAAGCTTGTTGTAAGTACTGCAAGTGTGAAATTAAAGCGAAAATACAAAACTCAAAGAGCCATGCAGAGACAAAATAAGCATAAAACTGCAATTTCATTTAAAGATATTACACCGCTGACATCTGTTTTCAGAACTATACTGATAAATGAATCATCAAAAGTTAAAGTATCAGTCGCAATGTTTTTAATTTGTCACTGCGCAATTTTAAACTGGGACCATTTGATCGATTTGTAACAAATCTTGGACTAGTTCAATTTAAAAAGTGTGGTGTAGAAAGTATAGTTTAGGAACTGAAGGACCTTTTAATCAGCAAACAGTTAGGCTTGAAGAATTTGGCTGTAATTGGTACTGATAATGCCTCAGTGATGGTTGGTATAAACAATGGCGTTTATGCCAAGTTGAAGGAAGCTAACCCATCGTTAATACTTATAAAATGTATGCGTCATTCATTGCAACTAATCTAAATATTTACCAAGGAATTTGGAATACCTTATTGCTGAAACACTTTACTGGTTTTCCAAATCATTTGTCAGACAACAGCAATACAATACATTATATACAGCCTTGAATGATGGTTCCACACAACCGAAAATTCTGTCAGATTGCAAAACTAGATGGTTATCAATTTAACCAGCTGTTGAAAGAATTATGAAGCAATGGCTGAAGTTGAAGACACACTTTGAAATAACAAGATAAAGTGAAAAGTGCCACACAGCTGAAATACTATATGGAATGTACAGTTATGAAAAAAAATTGTCATACATTCTCTTTTTATAACCTATTCTAATGGAAGTGCAAAAAGTTAATAAACTGTTCGAATCTAAACTTGTTGATAAAGTTAAATTACTTGATGATCTCACCTTGCTATTTCACTCGGTAAAAGACTGATGTTGCCAATTTCTAAAGCTGATTTGCTCACTTACACTATAGAGAGCTATTTGGCTCCTAAGCCACACCTTGGATATTAGATCGAATCACAAATTGATGATTTAAAAACAAAAGGACTGTTAACAGAGAATAAGGAGAACAACTTAAGAAAACGCTGTCAAGATTTCCTTATCTCATTATTGAAGCAGAGACTTCCTGAAAATCTAGATGTTTTGAAAAATATTTAACTTTTTTTCTGTGAGCAACATACTTCAGCCAATAAAGGGCATACCTAAATATTGTAAAGTTATGAAATTTTTAGGGGCTACCGATAATAGTGTCGCGGAAGCAGAATATCAGTTAACCAAAATAAAGTTAGCTGAAAAGACAAACAAAACAGAAACTAAAGCGTTTTGGAGTGAAGTGAGACAATTTAAAGATGCCTCATCAAACAGTCCATTCTGTAAGCTCTTTAAAGTGCCATGTCTGCCATGATACTACCCGACTCAAATTCTGACGTAGAAAGAGTTTTCAGTGCTAGGAATTATATCAAATCTAACTTTAAAAAAAAAAACAGGATGAAATTTGACCTCTTAAATGCTATCGTGCCATTAAAATTCGGCCTGATGAGACTAGAGAAATAAGCCTACTGTTTCACTTATACAGAAATTTGAACAGCTAAAGCATACCAGGGTCATTTTGGATCTGAAGCTTCAACTTCATTACCCAAGCTAAGTTTATCCTGTGGATCTTGTGAGGCAGACATCAGTGAAGGTGAGGACATGATTATGTAGGGTAAGTCGTAACAAAAGCTATGTAATTTTTGACTTTTTCAATTTGGATGTTTTTTCTAGATCTTTTCCACGCAGATTTAGATCTTTTTAGATATTTTTTGACACCGTTTTGGATATTTTTTGTCAAAGAAAAGTGGCAACACTAATTAGTTTGTCTTCATGGGGAAGAGATAAGGAATGGAGGAAGCGAACTTTGTCACGAAGATAACAAACAAGTTTCGGATCTGATAATGCGAATCTTTTTTTTTTCGGGGGTCGATTGCAGTGAATCTACAACATTACTAATTACTGTATCTTGTCAGTCTGCTCCGTGTATCTGCCAGCGTCTTATTCTGAAATGTTTGACAGTTAGTACTGTTCGTTCTCTAGCAATGTGTTTGGCAAAAATGCCGATGTACAACGAGAATGTCCCTGTACAAGTTACCACAGAGAACCACGCTGAAGAATTATGGCTAACATAGAGCCAGGAAAAGACCAAACAAAACGTCCACGTGAGTGGTTGTTGCGGGATCCCCAGTACACTGGTTTGTCAAGGGGGTCCCATAATGCTTTTAAACCGACTCTGCGTCCAGTTTAATAAATAGAAGTGATGACAGCAGGCTCGACATGGATCGACAACATTAAAGACAATACGCCTTCACGGCAAGACAATAGCCAGTGGCAGCCAACGTGCACTGGATCGCAAATTATTCCTCCCCACGACGCTTAACGGCAGAAGTGGTTTATGATGATGATGACAGCAGGGGTGACTGAAATTAAGCTAGCATTAGGATAAAAAGCCACCATTCTTTCTAGAAGTACTACAATATACCCTGTGACTGGAAAGACGGCGAGCAGATAGACTGGCTGCTTCTGCACCGCTCGGTGGTGAACTGATGTATGTCAAGTTGGATAGACCCACTGACTACCCAAAAGCCTATCGTAAGAGTCGACTAATTGGAAGCTTCCTTCGAAGTCGGAGTGCATCTGCCTGAGAGACAAGGAACCAACAGTATGCATACAAATTAATCAGATCTGTCAAACGGATGCACACGCAACACTCAGGTTCTGGAATAGGAGGACTGCAGTCCAGAAGTGAACGAACTGCAGTCCAGAAGTGGACGAACAACCACAACTAATTAACAGGCTTCATGCCTAATTTCAACAGCTTACAGAGAACGGTTACTATGTTAGTTTTTAACGTTTGGCAGGACTTCTGAGGCGTACTATACTATTGTATAGATTACATTTGAAATGTTTTGACACGTTCTGCCCAATTCTCACAGAGAATAACATGGCGGGGAGAAAAATTGAGAAGAAAAACAAAATCACAAGATTAGTTACTTTAACATGTCAGCACTATGTTTGTGAAATGTCCACTTTAAAAATATTATCGGGCTCGTCCGGGATTTGAACCAGGGACCTCTCGCACCCGAGCGAGAATCATACCCCTAGACCAACGAGCCGTACCTGTTGGTGGTTTGTACAAGATCATGTACAAAAAAATCACTTAGTGTTATCAGTGTAAAGATAAGAATATGTTTTAGCAATTCATAAATGTAGATAATAGCCGTTCCGGTTATTAATCTATAACACATGCAGCTTTGAACAGGAAAAGACTCACATTGTTCATTTAGTTGCCTATCCTTTACAAAACCTTGCAGAACCAGCCCAGGCAATTTTTTTGGGCTGTTATGATTATTGTTGTTCTAGGCACATCTTACGTTCAGTGGTTTGCCATTTCTTTCTCAACGGTCAAACCCCCGTACCACTCTTAAAATTACATTGAGACGGTCTGCTGTGATCGAACCCAGGACCCCTGCACCATTAGGAAGCGCGTTCACAACGCCTATGTTCCAAAATGTAGACATCGTGGAATGTTTGCGGACTTGGAATCTGAAGACGAAAATCACGAAGGTAGAGATGATGGTGATGTTAAATGGAACACATTAGTGAGCGGAGACCCACCCGTGTACATGTGGGGGAGGGGGGGGGGGCTTTGTTGTGAATGACATAGGAGACCCATCCGTGTACATGGGGTGGGGGGCATCAGTGTAAATGACATGGGAGACCCATCCGTGTACGGGGGGGGGGGG